CCTGGAGATCAATTAAGTCTCATCTGGTCAGCTCCCAAAGCAGGAAGCCAGTACAGAGGATGTCTTATCAGAAGCTGGTGATCACCTGGTGATAAGCTAGGTGGTGACAGATGGTGGGAACAGGGAGGGAAACAGAATGAAAGTCTATCATGACTTTCTCTGGGCTGGTCACTCTCAAAGGCTTCCTATTCATCTTTATGGGCTATGGGAAATGTGACTGCCTCTGTTTTATACATGAGAAAACTAAGGTTTACAGAGATTAAGCAACCTAATCATGATCATCAAACTTTAACAAAACTGGTCTGAAACTAGGTTGAATGCTGAAGCCCCTGATTTTCCTGGTAGAGTACTCTGCCTCTCTAGGGAAGGAAAGTGAAGTCAAAGTGCCTCTGAGCTTGTGAGCCTGGGTTCCAAGAAGACCTCATGACTGTGGAGAGTGATTAGAAACCTGGGAAAGGGGACCTTTCTGTAGAGGAAAGGTTTTTATTTTGTTCATGAATTCTCCAAATGAAAGAAATATCCTGTAGGCAGTGGAGATCTATGGGGAAAGGGGATGTGGGCAGGGATAGATGCATACTGATAAGCCACTGGCAGACAGGTGGTAGGTGTCTGAGAAGTGGGAACAGACAAGCTCTTCCAAGGGTGAAATACAGAGGGGTACAGACGGGAGAGCCAGTGCCAATGGCAGTGAGTCTCAGAAAAAGGCAGGAGGCACAGGTCTCACCTACTGCACATATGGTCACACGTGCAGGTGGCGGCCATTCCAGCTTTAGGTGCTTCTCAATGCCGCTAAGGCAATTCTCCTGTTCCACTCTTGAAACTGACTCATTTTTCAGAGCACAACTCAAATTTCCACAACCTCTATTAGAATTTCAGCTCTTGTTCATCTGTGGAACCTCCGTGGTGCTTAACATCATGGCTGGCACAGAACAGGTGCTAAATGAATATTTGTTGAGCTGAACTGAAGAAACAGAAAAACTTTGAAGATGGCAGCTAATTATTCTTTCTGAGCCATACCTTCTTCATTTGTGCAATAGAATTAAATGAGATATGTAGGTAAGGCTGTTAGAACAGTATCCGGAACATGGTTGTTCATTAAATGGTAATTATTATTATTAGCTGGCAGAAACCAGGGATGTAGTATAATAGAAACCTAAGAAGGAATACTGAGCAATTTCAAGACCCATTGTATACCACAGTCAGCTCTCTCTCTCACTCTCGCACAACATACACGCACACACACACACACACAGGGCCACACAGTGAAGGTTATTCAGCAGAATATAAAACTCTTCCACTGATAGTCTTCTGAGTTTTTCCTCCTGAATATAAGAATAGATTCTTACTATAGTAATCTAACTTTGGTTCTACAGTGGATAGTTGAAATGACCTTTGTGGCTAGCAACATGATTTTAACATCAAAGTGGATGGGAATTTTAATTGCCAGCTAGACAACAGGCCTACTAGTATGCTTTGCTATTTACTGGATTGTTTAAGTAAATGTGTGCCTGCCCCACAGTTTGGCGGCTGCTTTAGGAGGGAAATATGGTATCCAAGAATCCTAGAACCAGCAAGCATCACAGTGAACAGCTTATCACAGACAGAAATCTCTGCTCCCTAACATAAAATGTCCTTGTGATAGAAACAAAGCAACTATGTGGCAGGCCTCCCCAACAGAACTTTCTCTTCAGCTGAGACCCGAGGCAGGTGGGGGATACCAAACAAAGAACTGGCATCTGGAGGCATGGCTGGGTGAAAGGGCCCAGGATTTTCAATGACCCAACAGCTCCCTTTTATCACAGCACCCCCCTCCCAGTCAGCAACTTTCTCCTCACCTTTGGGCCTGAGTGTGTACCCAAAGCCTGGAGTTTATCATCTAGAATGAGGACTCCAAGAACCAAGCCTCCTAGCTGGAGCCTGGTCCTAGCTCCCTTGGGACTCGGCTTCCCTGGAGGTCAGGCCCAGGGGACCCTTGCTGCCTGCCCCTCTTCTGCCCTTGGTGGTTCCATCCTCCTATCACTGAAGAGGGCAAGGCCAGCCCTTTTGCTTTCCTCTCCAAAGCCCAACCTCTTAGGTCTGCTCTCCTCCCCTGCTCCCCTCCCCCACACCCACCCCCTTTCAGGCCATAAGGGACCTTTTCTATTTGCAGAGCCTAAAGAAGCTGGTTGCCAAGGTGACAGGAGCAGGAACAGCAGGGAGCTTGCCATGGGGGAGGGGCTTTGCCCCCAAACAGCTGTCAGTGGGAGCAGGCCCAGCTGGGACTAGAGGGTTTGCCTCTCTGGGAGGAAATACCCCCAGGAGGACACATTCCTCTTGGCTACACTGTGCCCCAGACCAACTCCCAGCCACTTTCCCTGCCATCAAGAAGCTCCACTGGCTACTTTCCCTGGGGGCAGGCAGCCAGCTCAAAAAATGCTCTGATAACAAACAAAACATGTACAGCACTTACATCTAGCTCTCTCCCTCACATGCACAAGCATGCTCTTCCCTCTGGCTCCTGTTCTCCCAGGCTCATTCACAGTGGGCTGGCTGGGCAGGAGGCCAGATGTCACCTCTGCCTGGGGAGCTGTGGAGCCCAAGACAGGTGCTGCTCCAGGCTGCACCCCATCAAGTCATAAGAATAATTCCAGAGGCCCTGAGCAGACCTACTGCTCCTAAGCTTCCCCCAGCTGCCTTCTATTTGGGAGGTGGGAGTGGGGGAGTGGAACCAAGGGCTTACAGGGAGGAAGAGGGAAAGAAAAGAAGAATAGAACGGACAGTGCGAGGCAGGAACAATGCAGGGTGCACTGATCTGTGTCTCTGGGCTGAGGGTCTTTGTAGTTTTTGGCTCACAGCTGCTCCATAGAAAGTTCTGTGGGGCCACTGGTCTGTGTATGGCATTATGGCCACATACAGTCAGAGGCCACACTTAGGCCACTGGATCTCAGCTCAAGAGGAGAGAGCCCACCACCTGCCTCTGCAAATCTGAAACTGCCCGAGGATCCCCAGGCTCAGCTTTGGGTCAGGAATTAGAAAGGCCACCAAGGTCTCAAATCACAAAAAAATGAGAGGGGCAATATGGCTTGATGATTAAAGGGCACAGAAGCTGACTCTGGCAGATGTGGGGCTGGGTTCCAGTTCTGCTACTTACTACTTTGGTGACTTCCCAGGCTTTCTGTGTTAAGTTGTTGGGGAACCTCTGTGAGTCTAAGTTTCCTTGTCTGTAAAGTGGGTAAAAACACCTATGATACAGAGCTCTTTTGGAAGACTGGAGAAGTGGTGTGGATGAAGTGCCTTGCATGGTAGCTGGCATGTGATGAGACTCCACTAGATGCCTCACAGCCATAAGAGTGGCCCAAGGACTGCTTTTGAATAGTCCTCTGAATTTGGGGGCTGGCTTAAACTGAGAGGGAAGCTACATTTTGGCCAGTCAGGAATGGAGTCCTCAGGAAGTCCTGGGCCCTGATGTTGAGGGTTAGATGAAAACGTAGTCAGTGTGGCCTTGAGGTCTTGGCTCTAGCCCAAGCTGTTATTAACACACTACAAGATCCCTGAGTCTTCATCCTCTAAACCTGTTTATTTTTCCATAAAAGGAAGAGGCCGGGCCAGTCTCCAGAGAAAGCAGTGCCAGAGAGTGAGAAACACTTTGAACTACAAGGCCGCTGAAGGGAGGGGCCTGCCTCAGCTCAGCAGTGACCACAGGCAGGCACATTGGGCCCTTTGTGATTTGTAAAATCTCACAAAGCTGAACAAATGACTTCAGCATGGTTTCTTCCCATCTAAGTGACATGTGTTTCTACTTGTGTTTCCTCTCTGTCTGGGATGATTTTTCTACTTTGGCTGCCAGGTTTTTGCTCATCCTTCAGGACTCAGGTGCCAGACCCTCTGAGGGACGGCATCTCTGATGCAGCCTGCCTGGGAGTGAGGTTTGGAATGCAGGTTTAGGAAATTGAAGATATTTACTCATATACCTGGCGCCATTCCTTTGACTTTGTTCTCTTTTAGGTAAGAAATCATACTTGGTCATCTTGGTTTTAATCTAATGACAAGCATATAGTAGGTTTTCAAAAAACAAAACAAAACAAAACAAAAAACACAGATTAGATTGTAAAATGGTCTGGATGAAGACAGAAGGTGAGTGGTTTTCTCAGGGATGGGACTGGAGCGATTCTCTCTTTAATACCAAGCCATATGGTCCACTACTATATTTATTTCTGTGGTATAATGGCTTGGTCTTGTTTCCTAGACTGATCAGTCTGGCTTCTAGGGCTCCTGGCAGATTTTCCCATTAAATGTTGCTTATAACGGGCAGTTCTGGGAAAAGCTTAGCAGGCAGGGAAAGGAGTCTAGCCAGGGAGTACTGATTCATCCCCTTTGCAGAATCTGTCTTACAAGTAATTGGCTGGACGTTTTCATCTTCTAGATTTACTCTCAAGTGTCCCCTCACTGGAGTGCAGTTCTTGGCTACATGGTTCCTCTGCTCCTGCAGTGCTCATAGCTTAGCCCACAGGATGGCACTGTGCTGCCCTGTACCTGTCTGTCTCCCATCTAGACTGTACCCTCCTTATCTCACTGACCTCTACACACCCAGAACTGGCAACATAATTGGGAAATATTCGCCTACACATGCCTATGGAATGATGATAAAATAAACTTCGACTTCCCCATCTCCCTTGGTTCTTACCCATTTCTGGCTGGTTCCTATCCTTTTCCCTGAGTCTTAGAGAATTTCAAAATGGTCCACTGCCAACCTCCACTGATCCAAGGTTAAGAGCTATGCCTGTGTGCTCCAAGATCCATCACTGTGCCACTGCAAGAAGGACTTGTTTGTTCCTGTCCCTCCTGTCCTTTCTTAAAGTTATGCTTAAAGCATGTAACAGAATCCAGAGCTGACACACACCTCAAGATTGGGAGAGGGAGAGAAACATGTGGCTGGAATCTTAGCACAACCATGGGAAAAGGAAGGCTTACAAGCTTCCTCCTGGCTCAGAGTCCAGGTTCCTTCTTTCCAGGGCCCTTACCTGGTGCAATGAGGGGGTGGGTAGCTACAGCAGGAACTGTCCGGCCGAGGCCAGCCTGGCCCTCCATGTTCCCTGGAAGGCTGCTGTTGCCATCTCCTTTCTTGAGTGGCTCCATCACACTGTCAGCCACGCCAGGCTTGGCACCTGCAGGGGAACCCTGAGCAGTGTTTCTGCCCTGTGATGGGGTAGGCAGAGGCTGGCTACTGCCCAGTGTGGGTTTCAGGGCCAAGCTGGGCAGGACAGGCTGAGTGGGGAAAGGGCCCGAGGCTGCTGCAGCTGGTGTCTGCTGTGTTCGGAGGGTCAGGTTCTGTACCTGGAAGAGAGGGGTCTGTGGGAGTCCAGAGAATGTGGGTAGGCGTAATGCCAACACATAACTAAGAGAAGAAGTTTGGGATGGATTCAGGAGTGGCCCGAACATGATAGTGGGTTGTAAAATCAGAGGGGGCCGGGTGGAGAGAGAGAGAAACAGAGAGACAGAGACAGAGACAGAAATAGAAATAGAGAGACAGAGACAGACAGACGCTGAAAGAACCAGGAGCAGATGGAGTATCTAAAGAGGACAAAAAGATCACTCATGATTGGGTCCACCAACAGTAGGAACTGAATTCTGACAAATGACTGACGTCCAGGCTGGGGCAGGCAAAGGCAGGGAGGCCAGGCTCCTCACTGTTCCTAGCCTCTTTCCTCCCCCAAGCTATCAGAATTGGATAGATACACTGAGAAATAATCTCCAGATACAGTGGAGCATGGAGCTTCCCATGCTGTAAAAAGCCAGGGAAGAAGTGAAAGTTAATTGACTAGTAAGGCCACCAGTCAAAGGATTATCTTGTCCTTAGAATAAGGTTAACTGTAGGGCTTTTCAAGACACCTGGCATACTTATTTAGCCTGGTCCCTGGCGCCCTCTGCTGGACATGTGGATGCTGTGCCAGATTCTCATGTCCTTGCTACCCAATCCTCCAGTTCTGGCTCCATTTGGAGATGGGGTGGGGAGATGGGAATGAGAAATTCTCCTTTCCCAGCTGCCCACAGGATCTTCACTGCCATAGTAGCACCCGTGTGCTCCCAACAGAAGGGAGGAACCCAGGGCACATCCATATTTTCTCTTCTGTGCTATTTTCCCTGATTCCTAGCAATGGCCAGTGTATATTACCAGAGTGGGATTTTCCACTTGCAAAGCAGCAATGGAAAAGCAAATTATCCCAGAGATGAGAGGGAAGTATAGGGTACTAAAGCCTCAGAATGCTGTCCTTTGATTCCTAACTATATTTGAGAAGAAAATAGAATCAAGGAGGGCTGAGGCCATCTGGATGGGAATGAAAGAGCAAGTCTGGGAGCACCTGCTTCCCTAAAAGAGTCCAGCCTTTCCAAAGACTCAACACTCCTCTAGGGCCACCCATCCCCAGCAACCTACCCTTCTACAGAGCTGCCCACCCTTGCCCGCCCACAAGCATGGGATCCTCACCTGGGCGGGGGTTGGGGGCCGGGCGGGGGAGCCAGTGCCGAGCTCAGGCTGCACAGTAGCGACGGTGGCCGTGGGCGTGAAGATGAGCTGAGGGGACAAAGGAACAGTGCCGCCTAGGGTCCTAGCTACCTGTACCAGGTTACCTGGCTGGGCCTGGAATCACAGGAAACAAGGTGCCTTTTACCCGCCCAACGTGAGCTCAGCCAAAGGGCAGAAGAGTTTAGCCAAGGTAGACATGAGGATGGCTAGGAAAATAAAAATTGGAGGCAAGACAGGGCAGGAGTCCTAAGGGACTGCTCGAATGTCTCAAGAGGCTTGTATCATGCTGACCCAGGCTGGGCAGTGATGGTGTGGGGTCTCAGAGGCTATTCTGGGGCTTCATCCTGGAGGGAACCAATATTCTTGGGACATGCTGAAGCCATTCTTTCCTCAGAATCCTGGCAAGGAGAGACCCTGGGCAGATGCCTGAGGATTATTTCCCAGGTTTAAGCTACCCTGACTCCAGGGCTAGGTTGGAACAAGACTCTCCTATAGAAGGATTTAGATCAGATGTATGCTTCTGATCATTTTCTATTCAAATTTTTACTCAGGGACCTAAAGGCAGCAATGTCAGAAGAAGCAGACAGCCTAGATCTGTGGTTGCATCTCAGTCTCAGCTGGAGGGGCACAGGCTATCGATGTTCCTTGCCTGGCACCTCCACCTGCAGGTGGGTCTAGCTCTGTCTGTGTGGGTAAACTGGTGCCAGGGTGCTTTCCCTGCAGCTCTGAGGTGATGCATCAGGGCTTGCTCCTCTGGGTGTATGTCCTGATGTTGAGGGGCAGCAGGCAGATGTCAGGACCCCAGTTGGGGTGCTGAGTGAGATGTGGGAATGACTAGAGTGAACGTGAAGGCAGATTTGGGTGGGGTCATTATGGCTGGCAGTTTGCTGGGGAAGTGGAAGTCTATTTTATGCTGTGTGTCTAAGAAGGATTCCCTGGGAATGGAGATGTGCCTCAAACAATGACTTGGAGCCATGAACATAGGTGTGGGAACAGGACCGGAAAAGCTCCAGCTGTCAAGTTCTGGCCATAAGAGAAAAGGGAGGGGCAGGGCTGCACTGTCTTCAGGATGGTGTGACATGGAGCCACAGGGAAAATTCTTCAGCATGGGAAGTATGAAATATGACTTTGTGCTTGGAATCTAACATAGTAACACTGTATGTTCCTGCCTCCTAGGGAGAATGCTGCTGTTGTTCCAGGAAATTCTCCGGAATCGTAGAGGGCCCTTTTCTCCTCTTAGGGACAGGTACAAAGGAAAGATTCCAGGCATATTGTTGAGATGTATACTGGATGTATTCTGTCCAGTTCAGCTCCCCTGTCCCTTAGTAGAAGGGAGGCCCAGCTGGGAGGGCAGTGGTAGCAGCAGCAGCAACAGCAGCTGGCCTTGAAGTTTACCCCCTTGGGCTACAATGCACCTTTGGCCTCTGAGTTAGAGGCGGGCAGTCCTTGAAGAACTGCCATGTGAGGATGATCCCATTTCTGTGGAGCACCTGGTGTCTGTGCATCTGCTCATCTTACAGTCTGAGTGCTGAGGACCATCTGGGCATGGAGCCCTGCACTGTCTACCTAATTGGATCTGAAAAGCAGTTTCTGATATTTGGTTTCACTCCAGGAGGAGAAGCAAGGGTGACATCCTGGGTAACTCTTTCAGCTTGGAACCCATCCTTCCTTGAGTTGAGGAGCTTACAAAACCAGGTCCCACTCAGCCTTCCAGGCCCACCCTTCTTTATTCTACCCGCTTTTTCTTGCCCCCAGCCTCCAGTGCTCCACCCTCCTTCTTTATTCACCTCAATCCCAACTTCTCTCTTTTCCCTCCCAGCCCCAGAGCCAAGTAAGTACTTACCATCTGCGCCCTGAGATACATCTGTGCTTGGCTTGCAGTCAGGGCTGGAGAAGATGTGTTGCCCAAGAGCACAGCCTGCTGGGCAAGGCCTGAGGCTGTGGCTGGATTGACACTCTGGGCCCGGTTGATGAGCTGGGCTGCTGCTGGGGAGGCTGCCAGGTTGATCTGGTAAGAGAGATACATGAAGTAGGAAACAGGAGGTTCTAGGGGGTGAATGGTGTCCTCCTCATCTACTTCTTGCTCTTCCTCCTCTTCTGCCCCTTGGATTTACAGTCTCCCTTAGGACCATCTCTGGTGCTTGAGCCTGGGAGCTTCCCCCTGGTCTTGGTGCAGAGAGGATGTGATATTGAGAAAACTGAGGTAACAACAGAGGCTTGACAGTGGGAAGATGACAGGTGTTAGTTAATATAAGGGTTAGAAAGAGGCCATATATTTTTCCTCCCTTCGTAAGAACAGTAGATTCCAACCATGATCCCATGTGGCTAAGGAGTCCCCACAACTGGGTCTAGAAACTCATAAGCATTTCATGGAAGGAGGAAGGAGCTGGTCCAGAGCTGTAGACTCTGCTTGCTGCCCTACCCTACTCACCGAAGATGACTGGGCTGGGGCCTGTGCAGACACACTGCTGCCAGAAGTACTCGCTTGTCTGTTGGCCACCAGGCTTGCCTGGAAAAGAACAAACTAATCACTAGCATCTCACTCCCTACCCCCATTCTCCCAAGTCACTCATTCTTGGGCCCTCATCTTCCAGGGAGTACCTGGGACCATGGTGAAGACAGTAGCCTCTGGAGCACAGTCCCACCTGCCTCGCTCATGTGGTTCTGAGCAAGAGCCCAGTTTGTGCCTACCTTGAAGGGTTGCTGAGAAGACTGAACTGAGCCTGACACTGAGCCCTCTGCCAGCCATTACTACTGCTCAGCATTCCCAGCTCTCCCCAGTGCTCCACCCGACCCACGCGACCTGAATGTCTGGCCTGGCTTTCTGCTCTGGCCAGCTTCTTCCTATCCGTCAATAGTCTCTGACCACCCAAAGCAGGACCATCCTCTGTCCTTCATTCATAGCAGTCTGTTCTTCTTGGTCACAGCTTATCACAACTTAGAGAGTTAAATAGTTTGTTTGTCTATTTCAGTTGTTTACTTGCTGTCTCCTCACTCTAAAGCTCTAAAAGGACAGAGTCCACAGTATATCCATGACATGAGCATTATATGCAGTAGGTGCATAAAACATTTTGTCAAATGACAAATAAATGCATGAATGAATGTGTTCTTCTCAAGAGTCACTGGGAGGAGAGAGTGCAGTGCCAGACGGACAAGCTCTTGTGAGCACTTCTCTAGAGTTGTGGTCCCTCCCCAGTAGTGTGGTAGAATGGGTAGAAAGGGGCTCTCTCAGCACTTCTTCCCTGGGCTGCCCAGGGCAGAATTCTAGCCACTCCACTCACTGGCTCTGTGACCAAGCTGGAGCTGTGTTCCTCATCTACTAACAGGACATGATGGCAACAGTGCCTGCTTTGTGACGGCCTTCTGATCACTGTAAGAGGATGCATGAGTTGCATGGGGCATACCTGCCTCCTTTCCCTGTTACTCGCACAACCTCAACCCAAAGGAGCCTTGGTGCCTATGCCCTGTGATTCTCACCTGCTGTACGGCTGCCAGGCTCTGGAGCTGGGCACTGCTGAGCTGCTGCTGCTGCAGGGCGGCTGTCTGCAGCATGAGGTGCTGCTGCTGAGCGGCATACATCTGCTGCAGGTACTGAGCTGCTGTGCTGGGCTGCCGGTGCAAGGCCTGCTGGATCACCTGGGAGGGTGGCAGGGGAGCTGGAGCTATCCCCTCCCATACCACAGGCCCTTCTGCAGTCATGCCTTGTTACCTCAGTTCTTCCTGGCTACTCAAGAGAGGTAGTGCAGATCTGTGACCACCACTGTAACCCATCAGTCCTCTTGGAGTGGGAGTAGGGGCCAGGGAGACAGCTGTTCACAGAACTTTATAACTATTTTGCTATAATGCCTGTCTTGGGCTCCTCCCTTTCACGCCTGCTCCTGGATCAGCTGTCACAAGAACAGTCAAAAGCACATACCACTGCTCTAAACTACTGGTAGGGAGATAGAGCCTCCCATGCCAGCCTGGCAGGTGCTCCTCTCCCCCACCACTCTGCAGCCTGCAGGTGAGGGAAAAGCTTAATAAGGCAGAGCACCAAAAGGGGCTGGAAAGAAAAGCCAAGCAAGCCGGGCCTGCTCCAGGTTCAGCAGCAGTGGCCAAACTGAGACTCATGCCAAGGCAACCAACAGCCCCGGGAAGGAGGGCTTCAAGTCTGACCTGGTTCTCCTCCCCAGGTTCTGCCCACAGCTCCCAGAAACTCCTAGTAGCCCCTGAGAAGGTGGCTTTAGCCTTGCAGAACAGGCCTATGCCACAGGGATTATACATTCCACTTTGATTCTCTCTCTCTTGCCTTTTCTGTCCTTTGCTCCCTCTTTTTAGCTACTGCCTCCCATTCTCTGGGGTTATTGCCTATTCCATCCTTCTTGATGGTGAGCAGCAGTCTCTAGGAAATGATAAAAGGCTATTCTCTGGTCCTCCACCACCCCCAGGAACAAAGAAAAGTGAATGCTTTTCTGTGGTCCTAAGACCCTCTGTCTTTTTCTCAGGAGGCTCAGAGACATTTCTTTTCCTTTCTGCCCCAGCCCACTCACCCATCCCTTCCACTGGCCTTGGCCAGGCATTGGTCTATTTCTTGCTCTTAGTTCTCTGCAGTCTCTGACCAGGGCTGCTCCTGTTGCTGGGCCTTGCCCCTCTGTCCAGGATCTCTCTAGCTTAGTTTGATTCCTGTTCTGTTCCAGGACAAAAGCTCGTGCTCAGATCTGGGGTTCTGTGAAAACAGACAGATCCTGCAAGGGCTCTGGTATCTCCCCAGACACCTCCCACACCCCTAGTGCTTGTGCGTACTTCCTTAATTCCTCTCTCCTTCAGGGTACTTTCCTCTCTGGGATCCTGTCGATATGAACTCCATTCTCTTTTTATCCCCTGCTGTCCCTGGAATTATTTCCTCCTACTACCTAGCCTTTTCTGTCTTTCTTGGACTCTGAAAGTGACCCCCGAAGCGATCCAGCAGCAGTGGCTGGTTCTGTGACTCCTCCTCACAGAGGGTGTCACTGAATGGAGTCAGGAGCAGCCCTCAGGGGTTCTGCCTAGGGGCCAGAATGCAACCTTGGCTTACTTCACTTGTCAGAAGAGGAACCCTGTACCCCTTTACCTAGATTTCTGAGGTGTTGTAGGAGGCAGGCATAATCTAATGCCAGATCCTAGAAACCCAAGCTATAATACTCAGGCGTGAAGGGGCCAGGAGAAGAGGCTGGAGCTGGGCAAGAGTGGGAGCAAGAAACATGGTTTAAAGTGTGGGCAGAGAAAACTGGGAGAGGGGACAGTCCAGAGCATATGATGGTCTCTTCTTTAATCAGATTTCTCAAGCTTCTCACTGTCTCCTGTGAGTTCTCCCCCATTCCCTTATCGAGACCTAGAGCCAATGCAGGATGAGGTCATTCTTCTAATATATCCAAATTGTAACAATGTTATTTAGAGTAAGTATTTCTCAGCTGCAGTTTCTCTTTTCTCCCTGTATCATTCAGGAACTGAAAACAGATATTGTTGTGATTAACAACACAGGTGTAGGAGGAGAGCTAGGTTCAATTTTTTTTGTTCAGTGGCCTTGGACAAGTTATTACTTTTTCTGAGCCTCCCCCATTTTATCAATTATACAACTGTGCCTAATAATAACTATTCTCATAGCTGGGAAGAAGATAAATATGCAAAATTTTAGTATCATGCTGAGCAGATAGCAGACAGCAATGCATGGTCATAATAGCATTTTGAAACAGTGTATAGTCACCTGAGAGCTGGCTGTGTGAATGGTCTTTGCAACCTCTAGGAAAGCAAGGAAAAAAGCCTCAAAGACAAAGGACTCTTTGGGGATTCTTTTTTGGTCTTCTGCCTTTGAGAAACTTAGATCTGTTCCTCATAGAGCACTCATTTAGATAATGGGTTTGGGTTATAGTTGAGCAGCCTCCAGTCATTTTTTTTTTGGTATTGGGGATTGAACTCAGGTCTTTGTGCTTGCGCAGCAGGCTGCGAAACCACTGAGCTAAAATCCCAGGCCCTCCAGTCATTTTTCATATTTATCATTTTTTTCTTGTCTGCCCTTTATACCTTCACACACCTATTTTCCCAAAACAGCACTCAAGGATCTACACCATCAAGTAAGAGAGGGTTTGTTTTTTTTTTTTCTGATTTGCTAAATACTCTTCCTCTCTCCAAACTTCTTTGATTTGGCCCACCTTGCATCACTTCCCCTCCTCTATGCACACATATATATCCATGAACTTGCTCCTTTTTGCTCACTATGAAGCCCTCCAGGTTATTCTACAAGACCATGCCTATACCTTCTCCTGGCCAGCCCTGTAGGTGATGAAGCAATACAATTCCTGGACAAATTAGAACCTTACCTGCACAGTCTGCCGGTCAGGAATACCACTGTACACAGAAATCTGGGGCCCAGTGGGGCGGCCATTGCCACCACTGCTGCTATTGCTGCAGCCACTGCTGCTATTGGCTCCACTGGTGCTGCTCGTGGCACCGGCACTGCTGGACGTGTGTGGGACTGGCAGCTCATTCTCCATGGCCTACAGAGTGGCACAGTCAGGGTGCTCAGATGGTAGAAGAGCAGGCAGATGCTAGGAGGGAAGAGGCAGGAGTGAAGTGTTTAGCAAATGCTTATTAGAGAATGGACATGCTGTTGGGCCTCTATATTCAGGTGCTCCACATCGTGAATTCAACTACCCTTGGATGGAAAATATTTGGGGAAAAAAATATCTGTATGGAACATGTATAGACTTTTTTTCTTGCCATTATTCCCTCAATAATATGGTATAACAACTATTTGCATAGAATTTAATTGTAGTAGGTAGTATAAATAATCTAGAGATGATATAAGTATGTGGGAGGATATGCAAATATTACACCATTTTATGTGAGGGACTTGAGCATCTGCAGATTTTGGTATCTTCCAGGAGTGCTGGAACCAATCCTCTGTGGACAAGGGAGGACTGTATGGTCATCAGTTGCTCAGCTGGCCCAGCATGAGGCTACCTGTGAACTGAGGTTTCAAAACACAGTTATCACCAAAAGGATGGGGCCAGACTTGGTTCGTTAGGTGAGGTTTGAAATCAAGTCCGCCTGATTCTAAAGCCTATGTGACCTGTTCCTTCTGCCAGCAGAGGTAAAACTAGCAAAGGAGACAGATTTCCTGTATTTTCTAACTGGTAGTGATCTTAGGGATCATCACCCTGTCAAGCTCTTCATCTGTGGGATGAGGAAATGAACATCAGGGAACTTATTGTTGGTCCATATGCCAGATAGTGACGAAAGTAGGACTGAAAATCTAGAAACTGGACCTGGTGGTGCACATCTGTAATCCTAGCACTCTGGGAGGTTGAGGCAGGTTCCAGTCCAGTCTGGACAACTTAGTGACTCAGCAAGACCTCAACTCAAAAAAAAAAAAAAAAAAAGGACAAAAAAGTTTAAAGGACTAGGAACCTGCATCAGTGCTGAGGCCCTGGGTTCAATCCCTGATACTAGAAAGCAAAATCTAGCAACAACAGAATGAGAGAAAAGGAAAATAAAGAGGTAATAAAATAAATGGAAGTGTTATTCTGTTTTCAAAGCCAGAAGAACTTTGGAATCTCTGTTTTCTTTATTAAGTACTTACTGAGTGCCTTTTGAGTCTAGTATGGAGCAGGAGACTGGAATGATTTGGTTAAAATTTCAGGTTTTGGAATGAGAAAGACTTAGCTTTTCCACTTTCTAGCTAGGAAACCTTGGCAAGGCTCACTTGTGTGGCCATCTGCTTATTAATTTGTCAAATGTGATGGTCTATGGACCACTGCAAGCAGAAAGTAAATGGTGATACAAAGTGCTTGGCAGGTGTCAAGCACTCACGGAGTCCTCCATAAGCAAGCACCAGCTGTTGTTGTGGTTATAAATATTGCACAGTCTGGTTCCCACCGTCTGGTGCCAACAGACCAGGCTTCTCCCAAGATGGAACTGGCAGAGCCTCTAGAGACCTCTTGTCCCAGTCATTAATGAGGCCCAGAAATTCCATCTCCTGTGGTCCAGACACACAACTGGAAACTACACATTTCCTTGAGGAATTCCTATGTACCTGGTATGGAGAGGCCTCAAGAAAGAAGGACTGAGTGGTAGGAGAGGCACATCCAGATTTGAGTTCAAGTTCTTCTTTTCTTCTTTCATACTATTTCCCAAATCCTCATTTCTATGTATAAACTTTTCTTTTTACTCACTCCTTCCCACATGTAACAATCAATAATGATTCACTGGCACCCAATCACAGACATTCAGTCCTCTGCTTTTACATCTCACCAATTTAGTAAAAGAAGAACATATAATTTTTCACATTAAAGATTGATTAGTGCAAAACAGGCATTAGTGTTCTGTTGTCATCTCTGTAATGCTGCTAATTTTAGGGGTTACCATTCTTCAAGCTGCCTTCTTCAGAATGGGTGGGTTTCACTGTGGGTTAAAAAGGTATGGGTGAAGGGTAAAAGGCAGAAATTTTGGGGGTCAGAAAATCTAGGCCATTGTCAGGTGGGAGGCAGCAAGTTGAGTTTGGCTTCCAAGGTGGTGTGCCCATCTGCAAACTGTGCATGTGACCTGGGTCTTTATGCAGAGATTTCGCCTAATATTTCTGTGTCTGCTCTTACTGCCACAGGGTCAGACCACTGTCATGAATTCTCTTTGTTCTGAACTGCAATGGCCCTCATTATGGCTACTCACTTGTTAAGGGCATGTATGATAGACGCAGGAATTAATGACACAGCAAAGTTAGAAGTATTTCTTGTGCCCTGCTATGCAAAATCCATCTTATCTATGTTCCAAGGAGGGAAGCCTAGGCTGGGTGGAAAGTAACAGAAGCCATAATTCCTGACCTTGCAGAAACTGAAAACTAGTTGTCCAGAGGAGATTCAATTGCAGTTTTAAGGATCACTGAGCAAAAAATCAGGAAATGACAGTTCTGTCCAAACATGGTATACCCCATAGGATCGCAAGGTCTTCTCTTGGTTCAAGGCCTTACTTCTCTCTCTCCAAATATTGACCAGTATTGCATTTCAGTTCTTGCTTTTCATCCAGCTCTAGGAAATCTCAACTAAAGCACTCATAAAAAATAAAATGGAAAGATAGGCTAGCAGTCACAGGAAATTAGAAGGATAAGATATCTACATTATGAATGATTGAGACTTAGTTCTTTTTTCTTTCTATTTTTTTTGCAGCTGGGTGGACACTATGTACTCAACTGTTGTTGAGAAATGTCAGATGCTAAAGACAGCATGGCATCCCTTTATAGAAAAATTGCATTGGCAAGGACAGCTACTGCTTCTACATGCAGAGGTGAGAGACTTACCTGAGCAAGTTGGGGCCACAAGCACAAAGCACCTCCTGGCTTCTGCCCACCTGTCTCCTTCCTGCTGCCAGCCAGCATGCCTTTACTTTCTCTCTTCACTCCCGCTGCATTTGTTCTTGGCTTTAGCCTCCTCCCTCCTTTGCTGGGTCTGTCTCACCAGCTGCTGCTCCCCTGGCCCCTGGTTTTGTCCTTGGTCCTATCCTCTCTCATACCTTTGCTCACACCTGACTGCACTGTCCCCACAGGTCTCCTATGGCTGCCTCCTGTGTGCACTCACCTCATTGTGCTCTGGCTCTCTGGAATAGAAGCACGTTCCCCTCAGTATCATTTCCTTTCTCACTCTCTTCATGTGATGGATCCTGCCTGGTTGTTCCCATTCACTAACAGCTCTATCTCTCCTAATCTTATCTTTGTTGTCTCCAGCCCCTGGCCCTTGACCGGCCCCTCTGTGGCTCCCTTGCCACTTAAGCTCCAGTCCTTTCTGATCTCAGGATCTCTGCCCCTTGGGCCTGATCAAACACATTCTCTCTCATTTGTGTGCATGCACATACACTGTACTCCCTACATAGCGCATGCTCGCAACATGCTCTGTCTCTCTGGCACTCTCTGTCCTAGCGCATGCTTTTGGTAGCTACAGCTGTTATCCAACGGCACTCTTTGCTTTCTCTCACTCTCCGGACTGTTCTCTCTCTTTGGCTCTCTCTCAATCACTCGTGCACAGGACAGAGGGAGGGAGGGAAGGAGGGACCAACTCTGACTAGAGGATCAGGGTATTAATCATTTTAAAATGTGCAGTTCACTAATATTTACTACACTCACAATATTGTGCAATTATTACCACTATTTTCAGAACTTTTTCATCATCTGAAACAAAAATTCTGCAACTATTAAGCAATAACCCTCTATTCCCCCATCTTCCTATGCAGGCCCTGGTAGCCTCTAATCTACTTTCTGTTTTTATGAATTTGCCTTTTCTACATATTTCATATATGCAGAATCATACAATATCAGTTCTTTTGTGTCTGGTTTATTTAAATTTAGCATAATGTTTTCAAGGTTCATTCATGTTGTAGCCTGTATGAAAATTTCCTTCCTTCTTATGGTTGAATAATATTCCAGTGCATGTGCATATATACCACATTCTGTTCGTCCCTTTATCTGTTGATGAACACTCGTCATTTCCACCTTTTGACTATGGCTATTATGAAAAAGCCTACAATGAACACTGGCATATAAGTATCTATTTGAATCTTTGCTTTTAATTCTTTGGATATATGAGTAAAAGTGAAATTCCTGGATCATATGATAATTCTGTTTGGGCTATCCAGTTGTACTTACATCATTTGTGGAATTACCAGTGTGCATTCCCGGGCCCACTCAGTTCCTCTCTAAACTGCTCAGTGCATATGCTAAGTCTCCCAGGTCTGACCCTGCCTGCCTGCCTCACTTCATTTTCCACTACTTTTCCACACTATACTCCCACTGGGCTCAGCATTTTTCTCAGTGGCCTGAAGCCTTGCTATTTGCTACCTCTGGGTTGATTGCTGTGAGTTACTCATGCTGCTCCCTTTCCCTGAAATGCCTCCCTTCCATTTAACCAACTCCTTAGCTTTTCAGCATAATCTGAGCCTCTCTTGTGAAATACACACTGAATGTAGCCTCTTCAAACTCTTTTCCTACTTCCTTCAAATTCAGCCTGAATTTCTCCTTTAAGCCATCCAGTTAGAGGGCTGCTCTCACAGCTTTTGGTACTTGTCTCTGTCCTAGCATGCACAATGTAGTGCTGCAAGGAATTGATTTGCTTGGGGGGATTCATCTTCCTCACTGGATTCTGCACTCCTGGAGGGATCATGTCACAGTTTCTCATGGATACCTGGTACTTCATGCCATAAATGCTTGTTGAGCAACATTTATGGAAATGTACCACACTCCATTGTATTGCTCATCTGAAAGTGTAGTTTAATTTTCACCTCATCTGCAGAAGTCAACTAGTTTAAAACATAAACTATCTGTGATTTAGTTTCCATATCTTCCACTAATGGTGTTTAAATTGTCAACAGTGATTATTTATTGAGTACCTACTACTTGTCAAGCACTACAATAGATGCTTTATATATACTTATGACCTCTCCTATGAGGCAGTTATTCATATTTCAGTTTTGTCAATAAGAGACTTATTTAATGAATTTATCTAAGGCAATCACATAACTGGAATTCAAACCCTACAGCTTCAGGCATAATCTCACCTTGAGCCAT